TATCCATACTTTACTTCTCTCAAATTGATTTAACTCTTCTTGCATAACCATAATCCAATGTTCATCATTTAATGCTTCTTTAATATTCTTAGGCTCTACGCATGAAATAAATGCAACATAATTACAAATATTTCTAAGAGAAGATCGAGTTGTTACCCCTTTGGATGGATCACCTATAATCTCACAATCCTTGACATAGTTGTACTCTCTTGGATAAGATACTTCACTTTCTTCAATGGTTGGATTCTTGAGAGGATCATGAGTTTCCGCATCTTTTATTTCTTCCTTTGATGATGATTCTCCAACGTCATGCCTAACGTCATTTGTATTTATAATACCTATATCATCATTAACACAAGAATCCTTCCTCGGAAGGAGATTATCATCGAAAACAACATGTATAGGCTCTTTTACAACTAAAGTTCTTTTATTAAATACTCAATAAGTTTTAGAATTTAAGGAATAACCCAGAAAAATTTCTTCATCACTTTTAGCATCAAATTTGCCAAGGTTTTCTTTACCGTTGTTTAAAACAAAACATTTACATCCAAAAGGATGAAAATATCTAATGTTAGGCTTTTTATTTTTGAAAATTTCATATGGAGTTTTCTTTAAAATTGGCCTAATCATTACTCGATTTACAACATAACAAGTGGTATTTGTGGCTTCCGCCCAAAAATATTTTGGCAAATTATTTTCACAAAGCATGGTTCTAGCCATTTCTTCTAAAGTTCGATTTTTCCTCTCAACAACTCCATTTTATTGAGGGGTTCTAGGTGCTGAAAAATTATGGCTAATACCATTAGAATTACAAAAATCATTAAATCCAAGATTTTCAAATTCAGTGCCATGATCACTTCTAACACTAGTGATAGAGTAACCTTTTTCGTTTTGGATTACTTTTGAAAATGTGATGAAATTTTCTAATGCTTCATCTTTAGTACTTAAGAATAGAACCCAAGTATATCTAGAATAATCATCTACCAAGACAAATGCATATTGTTTTGCACCCAAGCTAGTAGTCATAGTTGGCCCAAAAAGATCTATATGGATCAATTGTAATACTCTACTAGTTGATACATCATTAATGGATTTAAAAGAAACTCGCTTTTGTTTTCCTTTAGCACAAGCATCACATATTTTATCATTATCAAATTTTAGTTTAGGCTGCCCTCGAACCAATTCTCCTTGAACTAACCGTTGTAAAACACTCATGCTAGCATGTCCTAGTCTCCTATGCCATAACCAACTATCATGCTCATCCTTAGAAACTAGGCACAAATTAGTCATATCAATAGAATCTAAATGCACCATGTATATGTTTCTTATTCTATGACCAACAAGCATAATCCGATTAGATGCAATATCAATGACTTTACAACCATTAATTTCAAACATGACATTGAATCCCTTGTCGCATAATTGACTAATACTCAATAGATTATGCTTTAATCCATTCACATATAATACATTTTTAATTTGTATGGAAGAGGTATTACCTATAGTACCAATACCTTCAATGTGACCTTTTGAATTATCACCAAAAGTTAATTCTCTTCCATTTTTGGCGTTAAGCTCTATGAACCGGCTTTTGTCTCCGATCATTTGTCTCGAGCATCCACTATCAAGGTACCATGAATTTAGATTTGTTTCCCGTGCCTTGTAGCAATGCTCCTTTTCCTACAAACATAGATTAATTTCTAATTTTTGGTACCCAAATTCTTTTGGGTCCATATTCATTAGTTTCTAAAATACTTGTCCCTTTTGGTATCCATTTATGAAGGACATCCTTATCTTTAGTAGTAATGAATTCTTTAGGAACCCATATACTCCTAACAATTTTACCATTCAAGGTTCGTTGAGGACTTCTATGATTGTAGCTTCTAAAACTTTTCTTAACAAAGTTGGATTTTGAATTCTCACCTTTTTCAAAACTTTTTGTTCCAACCTTATTAAAAGAAGTTTTAAGATCATCAATCTTCTTTTGATGATCATCATGAACTTTTGAAAGTAAGTTATGCAAATCAGTATTTTTCTTTTCAAAATCATTAATTTTGATTTGCAATTCTTTGATCTTACTTTCAAGCTCATTGTTGGTCTTGGATATAAGACTATTTTCGTTTTTCAATTTTGAAATATCATTTTTGTAGTTTGAAAATAGAGTCTTATAATCCGAATCCAACCCATTATAATCCTCTAATAACTCATCATAAGATAATTCATCCAAGTCGAATGAGTTAGAGGTTACCTTAGAATCTTCCCCGATAGCCATCAAGTTGCAACTTCTTGTTCCTCTTCATCGGAACCTTCTTCATCGCTCCATGTAGCTACATGAGCCTTGTGCTTCTTTTTGGATTGACCATTTTTCTTCAATTGTGGGCAATCATATTTGACATGCCCCGGCTTTTTGCATTCATAGCAAATGATTAGGTCTTTCTCCTTTGATTTAGTTTTGAAGCCTTCATGACGTTTGAATTTTCTTCCTCGGTTGGGCATCATCAACTTTCTGAATCGTTTGGCAAATAATGCCATTTCCTCTTCATCATCATCGTCATTCGAATTACTCTCATCTTTTGTGGATTTGAGAGCAACTCCAATGTTTTTCTTCTTCTCCTTTGGTGTCTCGTCAATTTTATCGAGGTCCACTTCATCTTCAAGCATCATTTCATGAGTGAGAAGGGAACCGATTAGTTCTTCAAGAGTTAAGGATGTTAGGTCCTTAGACTCAATGATTGTCGTCTTCTTTGATTGCCACGATTTTGGAATGGAGTAGACTAACTTTCTTACAAGCTTTTCATTTGAAATGTTCTCTCCATATGATTTGAGACCATTGAAAATCGTTGAAAATCTATCCGTCATAGCTTTGATATCTTCATTTGGTTTCATTCTGAAATTTTCATAGCTATGCGTTAGAATAATAATTTTAGATTTCTTTACCTCATCGGTACCTTCATGAGTGACTTGAAGTTTGTCCCATATTTCTTTGGCGGTTGTACAAGATGAAACTCTTCCATATTCATCTGGTTCAAGAGCATAAAATATGATATGGATGGCTTTGGAGTTGAGCTAGAACATTTTTGTCTCTCCTTCACTCCACAATCTTGGATGAGTGAGAGGCTTGATGTATTCTTCTTCTACGGCATTCCATTCTCCCATTTCACTTGCTTGAATGAAGTACATCATCATATTTTTCCAATAGGCATATTTAGCCCCATTGAAGAAAGGAGGTTTGTTGACGGGCATCGAATCGAGACTGGAGTCGAAGTTTGAAGTAGAGGTCATTGAGGACTTTGATTATCGATGTAACTCTTCCCGAATCGACTCAAGAGGAGATTAAACCTTCAAATGAGTTACGCTCTGATGCCAATTATTGAGTTAATCGATTTATAGAATCGGCCAAGAGGGGGGTGAATTGGCAATTAAAATTTTGTGGAAGCTTTTGCAGAAAATTGAAAGTAATTGCACAGCGATTTAGCGTGGTTTGACTTTCTCAATCAAAGTCTACGTCCACTACCTTAGCTATCCACACTAAAGATTTTCCAACAAATTCACTAATTTGTTCTTTCTTTTGAGTCCAAAGAGATAACCTTACAACACCCTCAAGAATATACCCTAATTCTTGAGAACACTCTTTCCCAAAGAGAAGATTACAAATTTGCAAACTTATAAGGAAATTCTCACAAGGTAGATTGTTTGCACAATTCTAGAACAAAGAAAAGAACACTCAAGAATGAATACAATTGAGTACAAGTAGTGTTCTTGAAAGCAAAATGAATATTGAATGAAAAATAGGCTTGAAATGCACAAACTTGAGGTTTGATGCTTTCTCTTTGATTCTCTCTTGATTCTAGTTGCTTGATGTTTCTTGTTATTGATCAATGGTGTCTAAGCTTGTTTAAATACACCTTGAATCACTTCTGAACGTTGGGGATCATTAATGAAGTTATTAGAGCCGTTTAAATGTGAAAACAATTAATATTTCTGCTTGGAGCGTGGGGGGAATCGGTACCCCCTCATGGGGAATCGGTTCCCTAAGTGTAAAATTCAAATATTCGACCGTTAAACAGTGGGGGGGAATCGATACCCCCTGGGGGGAATCGGTTCCCTCCGAGCATATTGGAATTTCTCGGAGCAAAACCATTCAGGGGGAATCGGTACCCCCTTGGGGGGAATCGGTTCCCTATGGACAAACTGTAATTTTTGGCTTTGAAATGGTTCGAAATACTTTGTAAAATTGTTTTGAAATTATTTTAAGATTAAAACTTAATTTTACACTTTAGTAAGGATTTAAAATGAACTTTGAAATACTTTGAGTAATATTTTGATATTCAATTTAATATATTGAATATGCTTAGAAAAGTCATTTTCAAAATTAAAATTCTTTTAATTTAATTTGTTATATCGAAACATCAAAATGTTTTCAACATTATCTATGCTCATATTGCATATAGATTGGAATTGGGCTGATGGTACTACAACATTCTGGAGGAGCCAATTTATATGAATATTACTCTGGTGTTATTTTTGTCTCTGCAGGTACTTTATCACATTATCAAAATGAAAATGAAAAAATCTCAACCCTTTAAAATAATGAAATTATTTTTCTCTTTCCTAGGCTTATCGAAATATGTCGGGCTTAGTACGTTGGCTGTTGTTGAGGTCCTGTACTCCTATGCTGTTTAAAGTTATCTATGGATGTGAAGTGCATATATCAGAAAGCTGAAGATTCATCTATTCATGTTTACAGATAATAACGTCTGCTGTTGGTGCAAGCTTAATCGATAAGTTTGGAAGACGATCACTTCTCTTGGTTGGAAAACCGAGAAAATTTTAGAATCCAAAGGCATTTTCTGGCTAAACAGTTAACTGACATTGCAGTATTGTGCAGGTATCATCAGGTGGATTCCTTTTACAGGTTTCTTTTGGGGAAAAAATCTACATTCCTTTACTTTTTGACTGTTATTTGCGCATTTAACAATGTACTTAGTTACAGTGGAGTGAAGGAACTCCGGTTTTGGCACTGATTAGCATTTCGGTCAGTTACATTATCTTTTGGCATTGTCGTCGTTGTCGTGTATATCATATGGTTTGTATTTCAGTTGTATATGGGGTCATACCAAGTAGGGATGGAAGGAATTCCATGGACTATAGTTGCAGAGGTTAAGTTACATTGTCTTATGCTTGCTCCGACTCGTAATTGTTTCTTTTATATATCTATATTATGTCGATATGTTCTAAACACATGTTCAAACCTACTGATTTGCGTGACGGAAACTCTGTAGTACGTATGTAACGGTGATCGATTTTGTTTCAGATTTTTCCGATGAACATAAAAGGTGCAGCTGGGAGCATAGCCAGTTTATCTGGGAATATTTGTTCCTGGACCGTTTCGTACAACTTTAACTTCTTATTTCAATGGAGCTCAGCAGGTAACCATCAACCTCATCAGGTGTTTGATATTCTTTTAGCTTGTGAACCAAGAAAACTGACTCGTTTACGTTCGATTATTTTAGGGACATTCTTCGTATTTACAGCAGTTTGTGGTCTGAATTTTGTTTTTGTTTCGGAGATGGTGCCGGAGATGAAGGGGCGAACACTTGAAGAAATACAAGCATCAGTTTCTGGCAGTTCACAGTGAGAACAAATTTACAATAAGTAAATAACAGAGTAGAATGAATTGTAATTTTTTTTGAATTAATCACTTGTATCTATTGATCGATTAATTTAATCTCACATTATTATATACTAACCCTATTCCTACCTATATTTTTTTTGCTTTATTAAACGTGTGTTACGTAACCAAACTATTTTATTACTCTCTAAAGCAACAAAATATATACTATATTTTATTAACAAGTTTATTGCTTCCTGAAGCAACCGATATAGTCAATTAAAAGAAATGATTACGGACATTTTTTTCTTTAATGGAACAAAATATACATATTTTTGAATAAGAATTTCTATGAGTGTTACACGCTTTCTTTTATTTTCCTTGTATTTGTTTATACACATTTGCTACTATTGTGGTGCTCGTGTAAAAATCCTTTCTACATTTGCTTTCTGTTTGTCTATTGTTACGTATAGTCAAATTTTCTTTTTGATAAAAACTTATTTTCCGTTATAATTAGAATTATGTTGTGAAATAATATGCCAGATAATTTAGTTCACCCACCACTCTTTTATCATTTCGTAAAACGTCTTGTTCGAAAGAGATAAAGAGATTTTATGAAGGTTAGTTTTTTTATATTGGTTGTCATTCTCAAAGGAATGTTTTATTTTTCTTTGTATATTTGAGTTTAATATTTTTATTTTTGTATGAATTTTTTGTTAACTTTTGTCTCTATTTTTTTCTCTATGCTTAGGTTCGTTACAATTTTCATTCTTTTTATTACTTTATTATATCATTTGTCTTTATGACACGTTTTCTCTACCTTTTAGCATGTTTTCGGTCATTTTCGGTTATTTTCCTTTATCATTTTCTCATGGTTGGATTTGACATCACCACGATTGATCAAGATGACGCTCATTTGTTATCATGGTGGTCTTTCTTGCTTTCGACCTTCAAACTGGATTTTTAACATTTCTCTTATCTGGTCCTTGTGATCTTAATGGTTAGTTTCTTGTGTTAATGTTTATAGAAAAATGTTTTATTATATGTTTTAATTTACGATTGTGATTGTAAACTTTCATTGTAATTTATATATATTTTTTAGTTTTAATAAAAGTAGCTACTTTTATCTACTTTTATCCTGTCAAAAATTATAGTTTAATATGTACTATTAATTGGGAAGAGAAAAGAATGGTTAAATAATAAAGGTTTTTCCATCAACAAGAAAAAAATAAATTTGTGTTCATATTGAATTATTTCAATCATTAGCATTGGTTAGTTGGACATTGAGTCAGATTATTAGATCTTGGAAAGATTTGTGAGTAATTGCTCCCTCAAGCTACAAATAAAATATTTGCATATTTTTTTAATTGGACAAAAAATTGATATATTTTTTAATTTGTCCCATCAACAGATTTTTTTTCTAACATTTTACTTTCTCTAAATGAATAATCATTGGATAAATTCCAACTATAGGATTTATCAAGTCATAAGTAAATCAAATTAGTCCTTAAATTAAGTTACAATAATCAAATCAATAATTATATATACATAAAAAAATGGAACATGCCAATGCATTAGCAGAGATATAGATTCGGCATTTGATTGTTCTTCTTCAAACAATTTCAGTAGGAAAAATGGAGAGGGAAAGCCTGGAAGAAGGGCTGTTAACAGGCAGGCATGGACCAAGTAGCAACGGCACCCTCCGTGACAGTCTTATCGATAATCTTAACGTGCCGGCAGCGTCCTCGTTGACACCGGTTCTCGTCTTCAGTACGTTTGTTGCCGTCTGTGGCTCTTTCTGCTATGGATGTAGTGTAAGTTCTTCACTTCAATTTATGTTAACGTGACAGTTTCGTTATAAATTTTGTACTTCGATTGAATTGATTAAAGAAATTGAACTAACTTTGAAAATGAACCAGCTTGGTTATTCATCACCTGTGCAGAAAGGGATCATGGAAGACTTGAGCCTATCTGTGTCTGCAGTTAGTACATGCCAATCTTTTTATACTCTTTTCCCACTCAATTTCTTTATAAACATAAAAACACGTGTTCAAAGTGCTTCAGCTTACTTAAAGCACAAGAAACTCGTATTTATATTCGAATATGTATTGGACATGGATATAGACATAGCGGAGAAATGAAGAATCCAAGTAATATGGATTTGTAATCCTTGAAACCAATTTGCAGTATTCTGTTTTCGGTTCGATAATGACAATCGGAGGAACGGTGGGGGCAATTTTAAGTGGGAATATAGCAGATCTTATCGGTAGAAAACGGGTGAGTTAGTTTTTTATTTTTGGTTAATCAAATAATCCTAAAAGGTTTCGAGTTTGAATATGTTCCTATACTTTGAGAAACAGACAATGTGGTTCTCTGAAGTTTTCTGCACTGCTGGGTGGCTATCAGTAGCATTTGCAGAGGTTAACTTTCCACTTAGAGTTATTTCATTTTTGATAATGGATCGATTTGTAAGAAAGATCTTAAGAGGTTAATGTTCATTTTATGTTGGAAGAATGCTTTTTGGCTGGACATCGGAAGGCTGTTGATCGGAATCGGGGTCGCCATTATTTGTTATGTGGTAATGTACTAAAGTTTGCAGTTCATGCATATTTCATCAACTTAAAGCAGTTATAAGTAACTTACTAATGAGATATATATACATGGATAGCTGAACTTTCCTTATGAAACAGGTACCTGTCTACATAGCCGAAATAACACCTAAAAGTCATCGGGGTTCGTTTGCATCGGCAAATCAGGTAAACTATACTAAACCCTAATTGAAAATGTGATTGAACAACGTATCATTAGTTAGATTTGAGTTTCCTATGGTGCAGTTGATGACTACTTCTGGGTTTGTACTTATATTTTTCACCGGAACAATCATTTCGTGGCGCATGTTGGCCGTGATCGGTATATAATTTGATTCTTTTATTAACTTAAGCTAAAGGTTGTGTTGGTTTAGTGTTCTACCGATTCTGTTTTCTTCAGGTGTTGTTCCCTCTGTAGTACAGATAATAGGCTTATTTTTCATTCCAGAGTCTCCTAGATGGCTGGTAAGCCTAACTTTTAGTAGTCTGTCGATATTTGGATGCTTTTGAAGTACATAACATGTTTCTTTCGAGTTTATGCAACATAAACGCTAAACATGATCGCCTTCTGCAGGCAAAATCCGGTCGAGAGAAAGAGTTTAAAGCTTCCTTGAAGAGTCTTAGGGGAAAGGACTCGGATATTTCCGAAGAAGCTGCTGATATCAGAGTAGCATGTCACTATATCAGCTTCATAGCTTGTTACTTTTGTGAACAGTTAGTTTACTAATGATAACAAGAAATGTTATGTTCTTACATTCTCTTGTAGGTATATATGGAAACTCTTGAGCAAAGGACAGAAGGAAGTTTCCTCGAATTGTTCCAACGGAGATATGCTAATGCACTCATCGTGAGCCGGAAATGACATTAGATTAACATGATGATTTATTTTCATGACTTTCCTTATCATTTCACGTATCGCTTCTTGGACTTTTCAGATTGGAGTTGGCCTAATGTTATTGCAGCAATTAGGAGGAAGCAGTGGTATGACATACTATACCGGTAGCATATTCAAAGAAGCCGGTAAATTTACATCTTCTGTGTTGTTCCCTGCATAATTATTGCAGGAGAAACTATTTTTGTAGTCAATACAAGTTGAACCTGGTATCTAAAGCAAAAATTAAGACAGTTTTGCTGGCAATAGGTATATCAAGTAACCTTGGCCTTCAAATTTTAGCTATTGTGCAGGTACGTTCATGGCTTTCTTTTCGACTTATGTTCCAAACAATTCTAAGACATGTCAATTATATTGTTTTTGTAGATTCCGGTAGCTATTTTAGGTTTGTTCTTAACGGATAGAACCGGTAGACGACCCCTTCTATTGGTTAGTTTTGTAAATAATTCATTTTAAGAGAGTAAACTTGTTGAACAAGTCAAATAAAGTGGTGTTTCAATCCAATTTTATGCAGGTTTCTGCAAGTGGAATGTGTTTTGCTTGCTTTCTCCAGGGACTGGCATTCTGGTTTAAGGTATATCGAAGTCAAGTCATTTCCTTCATTTCCGATTCTTTTCCCCCCTGAAAACTTTGGTGCTGTTTTACAATCAGGAACTTCCCAATCTGAAGGAACTTACTCCGTCACTAGTACTTATCGGCTTTATGGTACTTCGGTTTGTCATACAATCTCAGTAGAACCTGAATGCATATTATACACAACTATATGAGTAAACTGATCAATACTGTAATGTAAACACAGATTGGTGGTACAGCTTTAACCATGGGCTTGGCAGGAATACCATGGATTATAATGTCAGAGGTATATGTCAATTCTGAGATCGAAAGCTTCACCGTTGCTTGCATATCAAGCTTCTGACAAGCGTTTGACTAAAACATGGTTCAAACCCTTTTTCAGATATTTCCTTTAAATGTTAAAGCTCAAGCTGGAAGTCTGGTGACTTTAATCAATTGGTCCACTGCTTGGATCGTTACTTGCAGTTTCAATTTTATGATGCAATGGAGCTCGGCAGGTCATCCTCCATTTCTATCATTCTGTATCAGAGTAAATTAACATTACATATCTGAACTAAAGTGTATCAGCAAACATCATTGCAGGAACATTTTTCTTTTTCTCGGGAATCGCAGGCGTAACCGTTCTATTTGTGGCCATGTTGGTCCCGGAGACGAAGGGGAGAACACTGGAGGAAATACAAGCATCGATCGCTCGTTTTCTGTAATCTTGGCATGTCCATGAATGCACCAATATGTATAAACAATAAGCATATGGCTTACTTTCTTACTTGTTTTACAAGTGATCATTTCTAGGGATGACAATGCTGGTGAACCCTTTTCCATTTCCACGTATTGGTCTTAAAGGACTCTACATATATACGTTCATATACTGTATAGTACTATTGTATTGATACTTCAATTTTTTTATACATCTTGTTGTACCTCTTAAAATCTCCTCCGCATACTCCGAAGGATGATCCCAGGAGCATCTTCAAATCTCCGATCTCTTCTACACCACATGACTTCCGGAGAACCTAAGAAGATTATCTCTGGACATAAAGCCTTTGGAGTCTTACACCTCTGGAAGCCACGATCTTTCAACATGACCTCTGGCAGGCCCACATAATATATCAAAATTAAATTTACTATCAGTAGACCATATACACTTAACCTGCTAAGTGCTAACCTACGAGCAGCTATATATAATGACTCTAGATCTGACTCCAACACTAAAGATCACTATAAATCTTCTCAAACAAGATTGAGAGAAGGATCGGGAAGCCTCACCATTATTCATCACTTTTCTACCTCCTCATAGAGACAAAATACCTCGATACCAACAACAGCTTTTCCTTCACTTATTGTAACTCTCCACCAAATCAGAAAAAGAGAACCGTCTATTATCACCGTAATTCAATTGTTCCATCAACACATCTAACTTGAAGTTATGCTATTTTATTTTATTTGGGCTCAACTCTTTCGAGTACTTGTACTTCATTTAGGGAGCCGATCATAAATATGTTCGACGGAGCTGAAACCATCCGGCAACCTTGTTTTATCAACAAGGAAATAAATAAGTCTTCCAAAAAAGGAGCAATCGAGTGAATCTATTTTAGTGTATAGTTTCTTTGTTGTTTTTAGTGTTATTTGAGTGTGTATTTATATGTAAGCTACGCATGTAAGTTGAATAAGTTTACTAAAAATTGAGTGACCAAAACATAAACTTACACATGAATAAACGGTTAAAATATAGTTTTTTAAAAAAAAATAAAAATAAACGTCCGTCACATATTTAACAACAAAATGACTCGATTACTCTATCACACTAACCTCCCTCCATCCCTCAATCAAATCTATATTTCCTTGAAACTTATCATATGACCCTTTGTTTCTCTCATCTCCTTCCTTTTCCCTATCTTTTGGAATTGAAACTCGCCATACCTTTTTGTTATCTTTATTACTATGCACAATTCATATTGAACAAGTATTACTTGTGTAAGAAAAGTGTTCACTCTTTTTTAGGGTTATCAAATAAGGCTTCTCCTCATCTTCCTCTTTCCAAATGTGGGTTAGGGTTGGTCCCTAACAATAATGAATACAACCCCACTGTTGTTGAGTCCTCATCACTACCATTGCTCAATACTAAACCATCAATGTCACCCAAGAAGAAAGACCCTGGTGGGGTTTATGGACTTTTGACATGTACTCAGAGTTTAGGGTTTGAGAGTTGTAATGAAAGAAGGGTTGGTGATGGTGATGGTGGTGATGATGATGATGATGAATATAATTGGAGAAGGAAGAGGAGGGAAGAGAAGAGATCAGCCTTGTTTCCACCACCACTTTCTTCATTGAACCAAAAGGGTCAGCCTTGTTTTTACCTGAAGCCTCTAAGGCAAAATGGGAGGTTGGAGTTAACCGAGGTTTTACGTGCCGTTATGGAAGATGGTCGATTGCGATAGCATTTTGTTAAGAGTGATGTTTGCTGTAAATCCAATGAAGATGAAGAGATGGAACATGAAGAAGTAAATGATTTGCATGAAGGAGATAAAGGGGTGAAAGTTGAGGAAATATGGAATTATAGAGTGAAGGATGAAGGTTCCAGGAGATGTCATCAGATGGTTAATTATCATCCACATCATGGCATCAATGACCATCATAGCTTGCATGTAAGGAGGCAGCCTTGTGTGTCAAATAAGGTGAATGAATTATTATTAGCATATGCTTCACAATGACAATAAAAGTTACTGTGCACATAAATATAGTAAAATAAGGTTACTTTGTGTATATGTTAAAAGTTTGGGAATAAAATTTACTCCATTTTTGGAAAACATTGAATATATTGGCGTTATTACGTTAAAAAACAAAAATAAATAATTTTTTTGGAAAAATAACCCCAATCAGTATTTTTAGAAAAAATGACCTCCAAATCTCGCATTTTGTAAAAAGCGATTATAAGTTCTATGTATTTATAATCCACTTTATCCATAAATTAATGAAGTTATCTGAAAAATTAATGAATTTCGTATTTTACAAAATGCGAGGCCTTTAAAACGCGTTCTATAATACGTAAGATAGTCTTACGTGGACAGTTTAAGGGTTATTTTTCTAAATAATGCTATTTGGGGAGTATTTTTCTAAATATTTAATTATTGAGGTTTTTTTGCGTAAAATCACCGAATATATTTGAGCATAGTTCATTATTGAAACATTAAAAAGAACTATTACATATTGATCTTATTAATCAATCAGTCAATTTATATATAAAAAGATAATGGATAGCGACTCTGTGAATTGACATTAAAACAGAATCAATCTGGGATCCAAAACCATAGTTCAAGGAAGTACGACACCTATAAAATTGACATTCAAAAGAACATGAAAATTGATTTAAAATGATGATACACCGGAGCTAATACGGATGCTTTGGATTACATGTCCGATACGGACCAGAGGTATGCTTCCCTTTCTGTTGCCCGTTTCTCGTTCAATTTGGTGAACATTTTCTTCTCAAAACCATTACTACGATCAACTCCGTTCCAATGTCTTCCTGGTCTTATACCGTATCGATTTGGGGCGGCATCTAATTTTCTTACTATCCAACTATGAGGAGGAATATCTTGAGGAACTATAAATCCCGATTCCTTCATCTTCTCAGCGTCCCCTAGGTCTTTAAGAACTAGCTCGGGTTGCTTTTTCTACAATATATTATGAAAATATGTCAACTTAAGTGCTAAACTACCTGAATTCTCATTAGCATCGGATGAGTAGTTAATTACCTTGACCAGATGTGCCATAGGATCACCCCATCTTAGTCTATCCTTCAACATATTGTCAAGCTCTGGATCATCCCTGCAAGTATAAGTTATAAATATAAAATTACTACATGCAGCAATATTGGAGAGAAAAAATAATCTGAATCGAGCAGAAGATACAATGAAGTCACAAGAATTACAACTCAGAACATCGTTTAGAATCTGTGCTATATTACCTGGTTCGAGCAAATGGTTTATTCTTCTCGAGTTCTAATTCTTGCAACCTAGCCTCAGCTTCCCCTTTTTGGGCTAAGCCTTTGCCCCATTCCAACTCTTTCTCCTGTGATAAAGAACATTAAAGCAGACTATTAATTCTTGTTCACTATGAACGAAGCAAACAATAAAGTTCACATTTACTAGGAACACAGCACTAGAATTGGCTACAACGATCATAATTGAGAAAAAAAAAAATGACGCAATTATGAACTGTGCAACTAGCTTCTCCATTTTGTACCTTAGGCTTATCTTCTCCTTTTCGTTTTGATTTAAGGTAATCTTCTTTTGATATGCGCTCCCCTGAAATGATTCACGAGGCATGTGTGAGCCAGATGCAAATGTACACAAGTTTTCAACTAGTTATTACTTAAAAATGACTTGTCATTCACCTTTTGTCTTATCGCGATATACAGGTTCGGCACCTCGTCCGCTTATAGATGGATCCATCTCTTGAAACCTGACACAGCAAAAAGATCACAGACAGGATAAAATCAAATTGGAAGTTACATAAATCTGATTTTGAATGTTTTGAAATTTATAATGAGATATATGCAAGCAAACTAAAAGCACTGCCTATATCATGTTATCATCGAAAGCAAAATAAGAAAGAGAAAATAACTTCAGTGATCGAAAATGTCTTATAATATACGATTTTAACCAACTTTTTTTGGATTTGCGAAAATGACCAACAAATTCGCAACGCAAACTCCAATTTCGCAACACAATTTCCAAATTCGCAACACTGAATTTCAAATTCGCAACTCGATTTCAAAATTCGTAACTCGATTTTCGAATTCGCAACACAAATTTTAATTTCGCAACATGTTTTATCTTCGCAACACAAATGTTTTGGGTATATAACTACGCAGTAGCATCAACTCATAACTTAAATCCCTAAATCACAACTCATTCCATCTCCATCTATTACTCTCTCCGGCGACATCCGTTCACATATCCAATGACATCCTTACTCATCTCTAATTTTTTTTACATAATTTTATTTTTATATATTTTTTTAATGATTTCTCTCCCAAATTATCAACTATCAACTTAATAAAGGTATGTTTTTCTCTAAGTTAGTGATGATATGTAGTTTATAGCTCGTTTGTTTAGTAAAGTAATTTACAATATATAGAATGAAATCATCTAATATTAATCATGTTTGGATATATTTGTGTTTTGGAGGGTCATGGGAGAATGTTCATGTTGTTTTACAATATATGCCTTTACTCATGAATCTTCAACTAAAACTGTCATTAAAAAAGTTAACTTATGAAACTCTAATGTTACGTGTTGCAAAGAAATTGAATTTAGAGCCTCTAAGTGGATTTAGGCTATCTTATCAGAGAAAAGGTAAAATTTATTTGTTAACCAACAATGAAGATGTTGAACGATTCATTGCTTACATTAATGTTTCGCAAGAAGATGATGTTACATTGTATGTTGATGTCTTGACCTTTGCAGCGGAGGCGACATATCACTATCAGTACCTTCTCTCAAATGCTTCACCCTCTGTTTCGGTGACTGTGTATCATTTCTCGCCCTCCATTTCCAAGGTGGTGATAAATCAACATCTGCTCTATTTACTAAAGGTTCTGGTGAAGGCGATTCATTCCGAACCCTTTGTTTCCGTGGAGGAGATAAATCAGTACCATCTGCTCTCTTCACTATAAGTTCTAGTGATGGTGTGTCTTCCCGAACCCTTCGTTTCTGTGGAGATAAATCAGTTTCATCTCTAGATGCCTTGACTTCAGGTGCTGGTAAATCAGTTCTAGCTGCCCTCCTAAAAGGAGGTGATAAATCAAACCCTTCTCTTAATGTTATTTCATCCCGTGCCCTACTTCTCAGTGGTGACAAATCAGATTTCAAACCAAGGGAACATGGTTTTATCGGAGGCGACAAA